GGGGGAGTATTCTTCAGACACTACAGACCGAGTTAGTACTCGGGGGGAGTATTCTTCAGACACTACAGACCGAGTTAGTACTCGGGGGGAGTATTATTCAGACACTACAGACCGTGTTAGTACTCGGGGGAGTATTATTCAGACACTACAGACCGAGTTAGTACTCGGGGGGAGTATTCAGACACTACAGACCGAGTTAGTACTCGGGGGGAGTGTTCAGACACTACAGACCGAGTTAGTACTCGGGGGGAGTGTTCAGACACTACAGACCGAGTTAGTACTCGAGGGAGTATTCAGACATTACAGACCGAGTTAGTACTCGGGGGAGGTATTCAGACACTACAGACCCAGTTAGTACTCGGGGGGAGTATTCAGACACTACAGACCCAGTTAGTACTCAGGGGAGTATTCAGACACTACAGACTCAGTCTGAAGAACAGGAAGCACATACGTCTTGGTCACCACCGTTGAGGTTCTCAGAGCTGAAGGGGAGCAGAGTGCTCAGCTCCAGGTCAGACACCATCTGACGGGATTCTGCCAGCAAACGCTGAAGCTTACTTGTGGGAGAAAAATCGTCCTGGGAAGAGAACACAACGTAAGCATTCACGAAAGCAGTCCTTAAAAACGTTTACGAACCCAACTTCACAGACACAAATGTCAATGAGCTGGTAGCAGTGCTTTTCCCTCAGCTTATGACAAAGCAAAGCTACACATCCAATACTCGGATAACCCAGTGCCTTCATTCCTTGGAACTCACCCGGCTAAAGGATTTGACTTAAATAGAACTTACTGCTTATGGGTGGGCAATTCATTACATCAAAATCCTAGGCACTGTTTAGTTCTCCTAAATTAACTTTTCAAGGCCATAATTAGCATGTCAAAACACTTGCCAAATGGAACTTTTCTGCTGAACACTAAAAACTCAGAAGCTTTTTAAAATGTGCGATTATGCAACCTGAAGAATGTGGCAATGTCACGGAAACGCACATGTAGAAATGCTAAGATGGTGCACACTGCCATATGTATTTTCACCACAGTGAAATTAAAGAAAAAGTGTGGATGTATGCTTTAGTTTGCTCGTTTACTTTTTAATTTTGGGATCTGAGTTTTCAGCACGACCATGAGTGAATGCTGTTCTCAAAAGGGCTTCCCGTTTTCTTTGTCCTAGTGCAAAGCAATGATCACGCTGAACTGTCACCTACAAGACACCTGGCACAGATCCGCTGAATGAACCAATGTATCCGTGTTTCACAACCCAGGCACACCTGTCAAGCTCCGCCTCAGCCACATGCAAACACTAAAAGAGGGTCTCCCCGAGCTATAAAGGCAAGGGCTAATATTGTTCCTAAGCTTTGCCCCTTTGTAAAAATGACCAGCTTGACTGAGATATAAACTGGTGTACAATGAACTGTATGATGGACAAGTTCTGACATGTGTCATTCACGAAGCTACCACCAATCAAGATGGTGGACATACCCACCAACCCTAGAAGTTCTGGTTCCTTTCCACCCCTCCCTTCATCCCCAGACCACCACAAATATGTTTTCTGTTGCTGGAGATTCATTTGCATTTTCTGGAATTTCAAAAAAACAGATCCCATACAGTGTATACATGTCTGTCTGGCTCCTTTGCTCAGTGTAAGTACTGCTCTGTGTACAGGTCCTCATTTCATTGATGAGATGTGTGTCACTGGATGACTATGCCTGTTTGTTTCTCTACTCTAGTAAAGCATATTTCAGTTGTTGATAGATTTTTTATGCAGTTGGTGTGAACAATTATGTGTAAGTCTTTGTGCAAACATTTGATTTATTTCTCTTGGGTATATACTGAGGAGTGGAATGGTAGGTATATATTTAACCTTTTAAAAAACCACTAAAGTGTTTTCCAAGTGATTGTACTATTTTACCTTCCTACTGCCAACCTTTTGGTTAGCAGCTGAGAGCTTAACCACTGCGCCACCAGGGCTCCTTTTCCCATCGTCACCGTGTGAGCTCCAGGTGCTCCAGAGTCTACCTCATCAATACTTGGTATTGTTGACTTTTTAAACTTTACACTCTAACATGAATAAGGCAGTATTTCATTGTGGTTTTAATTTGCATTTCCATGAGTAATGAAACAGCACCACTGGTGCGATGGGATCAGACAAGATTCCCGTTCTTGTCACCTGGGGTCAATACCCAGACAGCACACACCTCTTAAGGAGCTCTGGTAGCATAGTGGTTAACACACCCAACTGCCAACCAAAAGGTCAGTAGTTTAAAACCACCAGCTGCTCCATGGGAGAAAGATGAGGCAGTCTGCTTCTGTAAAGATTTACAACCCTAGAAACCCTATGAGGCAATTCTACTGTCCTACAGGGTCACTGAGTCAAAAGAAGCTCTGGTGGCATAGTGCCTGAGGCATATGACTGCTAACCAGAAGGCTGGCGGTTCAAACCCACAAGCCGCTCCTCAGAAGACTGGCAATCTACTTCTGTAGAGATACCGCCTTGGAAACCCAAGGAGGGGTTGCCATGAGTTGGAAATGACTCAACAGCAGTGAGTTTTTTTGAGTGAGTCAAAACAGACTCAATGGCAGTGGGGAATGAGTAGTTAAGGTCCTTGGGTGGTCCAAATGGTTTGTGCTCAACTGCTAACTAAAGGCTGTTGGTTCAAATCCACCTGGCAGTCCCATACAAGAAAGGCCTGGCAGTCCGCTTCTGTAAAGATTATAGCCATGAAAACAAACCCTACGGAGCAGTTCAGTTCTACCTTAACACGTGGAGTCTCCATGAGTCAGATCAACTCAACAGCAATAGGATGGCTTTTTAATGACCAACAATGTTGAGCATCTTTTCATGTGCTAATATACCTAATATACCACATACACACACACATACACCTTTGTTTTCAACTGACAGAATAGTTCTAGCTGACTGATTTCCTATCCTGAGTCATTATTCTCTAGGTACGACTGGCATATACCTCATTTGATTACTGTGCCAGTTTCACCTCATCTCTGTGTAATGCTAACAAAGAGAACCAGCACCTATCAATGACCTATTATGGACCAGGCCCAACATAACCTACATTAGCTCATTTACACCAAACAACTGTGAGGCCATTGTACATCTGCAGATGAAGAAACTGAGGCACAATGTAATTATATAACTTTATGAAGGTCATAGAGGTTAAGATCAAGAATAGGGATTGGAACCCAAAGAAGTCTGATTTCAAAGCCCCTGATCTTCCCTAAATAAAGTTCAAGCTTGTGAGTGGCTATCTAAAATCCAACTATTGGTCTCTCCTCATCTGGAGCAAAGCAGAGTGAAGAATTTCTAAGATGCATGGAAATACTTTGTGCAAGGGACTAGGGGACCATGGGAACCTCAGCCCACACAACCCTAAGACCACTATGTTGCCCAACAACTCAGAAAGGAATTAAAATTGGAGATCCTGGATAGTGTGGAAGAGAAACGTGGAATGAAACTGAAAAGTTATAAAAAAGACCAGGCTTACTGATCTGACAGAGCCTAGTGGAACCCCTGAGACCATGGCCCCTAGTCACCCGTCAGGTCTGGAATTAACACACTCCTGTGGCTTAACAATAGTCAAGCTATAAGGTGAACAACTGATACCAGGGAGGGGCACTCCTCAGAACGATCAACCACAGGAGATCGGAAGGGCAGCACTGGCAGGGAGAATGCTCAGAGGGCAGGAATGCATAGGAAAGCAAGACACAGGGAAAGGGTCACCACAGGAAGTAGGAAGAAGAGAGCAGTTACATTGTGGGGATTGCAATCAACGTCACAAAACAAGATCGGTATGAAATGTTGACTAGAATATGAATTTGCTCTGTAAACTTTCACCTCAACCACAATGCAAAAAAAAAAAAAAAAAAAAAGAGAGAGAGAAAGAGGAAGTTTATTTGAATTGCTTTATTGGTGACTAAGCTGAGATGAAGACCCTGTCGATGAGGAAGACTGTGAATGAAGTAAGTTCCTCAGAACTCTTGCCATGTAAGGACAAGGACGTGCACTGTAGCACGATCTGTAACATACCCTTCACTACCTGTCAGCAGGGCCTTGAACACAAACTGTGGTTTACTCAAGTCACCAACGACAAAGCAGCCAACAATTAAGGTGACCAAACTAGGTCTGCAGATGTCAGCATGGAAAAATGTCCCAAAACATTGATAAAGTTGGAAAAATCATATTGTAAAATGTTACAAACAGTATTACACCATTTACATACATTTTTAAAATTCATAAAACAACATACGGTGTGTGTGTGTCTGTCTGTTGCTGTTGGCTGCCAGCAAGTCGGCCCAAGTCATGGCCACTCCATGAACAACAGAATTGGACCACTGGGGCCCACAGGGTGCTTGAGGCCTGAGTTTCCTGAAGCTGAGCGCCAGGCCTTTACTCCTAATCCATCTGAGTCTGGAAGTGCCACTGAGATCTGTTCAGCATCCTAACCCCATGGACACCTCCACTGACGGGTGGTGGAGGCTGTGTGTGAGGTGCACGGGCCTGGGTCTCCCACGAGAAGGGTGAGAATTCTACCACTGAACCACCACTGCCTGTCTCTCTGTCGCTGTTCAAAGTATCATGCGTGGCAACCAATTTTAGAACAGCAGGTAACTGGGGGCTGAGGGGGGAGGAGACTTCCAGGAGAATGGGAAGCAGGACTTAGACTTTAACGTTTCTTGAAAAACAAAAACACAGCTAATCTGGAAAACGTAAGCATCTGTTAAATCTGACTGTGTGTGTGTGTAAAATATTTATGTAAAGGCATCACCGGAAGCTCTGGTAGCATAGTGCCTAAGGCACTTGACTGCTAACCAGAAGGCTGGTTGTTCAAACCCACCAGCCACTCCTCGGAAGGAAGATGGGGCAATCTAC